TGAAAACCCTTAGATAGTACTTTTTATTAAAAATATACTTTATGCAAACGACATAAGAGCTAGAAGAATCTTTGACACGTATTTGGAACAGTATAACAAAAGTATTATAGAGGCATTCGTTAGCTATAAGGCGAGGGGAAGTGAAAAGGGGAGCTAAATATTTTGCTGATATCACGTGCCGTATGAGACTGCATAAGGAATTACATTTTTTATAAGACAATTTGTTCGTTTATTTGTGGCGTTTTTGCTTTTCAACGCTCGTCATTGATTTGTCACGTGACATTTTCTTTTGTGCTTGGATGTGGAAATGCGTGCGTAAATGGTTTTTTTTCCGTTATTTTTCATCCGTTATTCTTTCGTCATTGAATTGCTTTTACCATATACCTAATACAGTAACTTACGTGACTTTAACTACTTATATTTAGTTGAAAATGACTTATGTTTAACTTATTAGGCCTATGTCCTTACAAAGCCCTATTTCAGTCCATTTATTTCAAATATACCACATCCATTGAACCTCAGTTTTAGCAAACAAAGAAAACGGCTATTTATAAAGCGGATTTAGTGTGGTAAGCCTTCCAAAACCGCTCAAGCCTGACCTGAGAAAAGCCGTTATTACTTAGAGATTTTTATGATAATGCCGCAATACGTAGACGCACATCAAGCCTTACCTGTATCTTATTATAGTAGCAATAGATGCGATTTTGCAATAAAAAAGTATAGTCCGATTTGTCACCCACTGTACGTATAAAGACAGGAGAAACGGGCGACCTTACGCGCTAGGGACAATCAGGAACGGGCAAATTGGTCGCCATGGTTGTGGCAATACAGCAATAAGGTTGCCAGCCGGAAAAATCACTCCATCAATTTGGGGTAAAGTTTAAGTGGACAGCGCTTCGTTAATAATGTCTGATGAAAATTGTACTTGGATTTTTCCGACAATATTGCGATGGATTCCGTTAAGTAGTATAATAATAATATTAATAAAGGCACTGATGATCAGTATAATGAAAATTAGCTATCATCCAAGGACATTTGCAATATTTATTTATACAGACATTTTAAGAATTCAAGAAAAATTTACGATTAATAATGAAAAACTCAAAATTAAAAGTTTCCTCAGTAAGCTTTATAAGACTAAGTAACGTTAAGAAAGTAGTTTAATAATTTAGTTTAAATAACAAGACAAATTTATATCATTTTCTAACAAAGTCCTATTGCACAGTGACAGGCAACCTTTGCCAACCTCCAACGCTTATCAAGATTCTAGCAAAAGCTTTATCGCTAGATGTCGCTAGCAAAAAGCGAGAAGCGATAGAAACGCGAAGGAATAACTACAGCGTGACAAATTAGGGTTCCGTGCCTGGATCGACGATATTTATGAACTCCAACATGGACGGTATAGCTATAATGGCGAGGTTCAGCAGTGAATGGATAATAGTGGAGATTTGTGATAAGATAACGCACCCTTCCGATTAGTATCTTACTCTCTCCCTATAAAAGACTCCTGATTTGTATTTTACCCAATGATTACTTTTAAATAATGTACTTATTTTCGAAGGAGTCATCTTAATATTGAAGAAAAAAACCATTTACAAAACTGTATTGTTAGTATTTGATGTTTTTCAAAGTTAAAGTAAGATGGTGCAACCCAGCCCTATATTTTAAATGTTAATATTACGTTATGATTTACTTGAAATCAAATCATTGATTAATATGGGTTTACCTATTTGCTGCAGCTTATAACCAATATTTCAAGTAACGTTAATATTATTATGAATTTCAATGCAAAAACTTTTACAGAAAACAGGCTTTGGAATTATTGGTTCATTAAATCACACGACCATGACCTAATTATACGTTTAATCGTTTTTTCATGAGCTTCCTACATTCGACTTTCATTATCAATGAAGCTGTTCTTTTACTGCTAAATCTCCGGATACCTAACGACCGCAATCGCGGCCTGCGGCGACCATACGAACGGCACATCAAGTTCAACCTTGTAGTACCGTAATGTGTTAGTAATAGGAGCTACTTTTCAATAAAAATGTACAGTCTGATGTGTGAAACTGTACGAACGTAACAAATTGTGGCCGGTGGACGGTCAACGGTTTACGATGCTCTTACGCCGGCACAGATGATGATTTAGATGCAGGGAAGCGCAGCGATAAGGGATCCCCGTTGCCATGGCAACGATGGGAACCCCGCCGGTATAGATGTTAAGCTAGAATAGATGCCTCAAAGTATCCTTTATAAACTGTCTTGACATAATTATCTTAGGTCCAAGAATCAATACACACATAATTTATGAATATAATAATTATTAGTTTATTTGCCGTCGTCTGTACATACCTCACTTACTACGGATGACTTATACATACTAGCCCGAAGATTCGCGCTAACGCAATGTGTATAGCCCATTATTCACGTACATACTTCGGTGCTTTTTTGCATAGTCGCAAGACTTCGCTCCGGTGTCAAATCAATCGTATAAATGTTATCGCGATGTGTATAGCCCAGTAGTGATAATTTTTATACAAGCTTTACCTTAAAACCCGGACTTTTAACCTACTTTGTGTGTACTTACACACAAAGTAGGTAATGTTAAATTATCGCTATTATTCAAAACTATTAGATCCAAAGTCCTGAATGATCCAAATTCCCCATCTTATCTCAAGTCACAGTTCACTCTTCTCAGTTCAACGCACTCACGTCAGCTCCGTTCTTCTAAAAAGTCTGTCCTTTCCACTCCTCTTCACCGAACTGGTTTTCTCTCCGACTCCTTCCGTCTCCAGGCCATAAGGCTCTGGAATTCTCTGCCTGAAGATATCAGGCAAGCCTCTAGCAAGTTTTCGTTCAAAAAATCTGTCCATAACCACTTTCTCCAAATGTTATCATCTTCATGAATGGTTTCTGTTTTAACTTATCGTCATCCATCATTATATCTATCATCTTAGTATGTATTTATTTATTATATTATTTTATATATTATTTATGTATGTGTATATGTAGCTTATTTGTTTTGCCGTCGCTTTGTTTTATTTAATTATTTTTTTTGTTATACCGCCAAACTAATTTTTCTGCATAACCCAAAGGTAAACTGGATGAGAATGCCTTATGGCATTAAGTTCGCCTAATGTTAATATTTTTGGCATTGAAGTATAAATAAAATAAAAAATAAAGTCTTTCATCTTTTCCTATTTGAATTTATCTGAAGGTTGTAATTTGAGTGGAGTCTATACAATAGGTGGTCTGCCCGCCGCCCTTGCGACACTCTAGTTCACGGACACTTATCGTTATCGTAATAAATTGGTCTGGATTCGTGCAATAACTTCACTGGGATCGGAATAAAAGTGGAAAATCTGACTAAAAGATGAGATTTAGTTTCGTTTATTTACTAAAATTGCTTTTAAAGTTTTACAGCAGAATGATTTTGTGAGTACAGATTTAGGTGTTTTAATTGCAATATTTTAGAGTAACAAGAGCACTTCTAAAACTATTTATTGGAAAAAACATCTTCGCTTTTCTTTCAAAAACATAAAATAGCATACAAATAGTATGCTAATTATTAAAATATTAATGATAACATAATGATTTGAATTATTATTACTCTTAAAAGATAAGTATTTCGTACTTTGATAAACATTAGAGTAGATTAGGACCTACTTTTAATTGTAAACTAACTTTTGAGAACGATACCACTCGCGCTAAATTTGGCTTGAGAGAGAGTGACCTTACCGTTTATCCCCGGGGAACTATAATTCTCAGAACAAAATGTATTTTTGTGCTAATTCAGTACACGGTTTAGCTTTTACACCCACCTACAGCCAATTAGTATGTATGATTGTATAACATTAACATAAATGTTACAGATATATTTTTGTTGGACCATCAATAAAAGTCGAAAAAGAAGCATTACTAAAATATTTTTCACACGGCCAGTTTATGCAAATCCACAGATTATTTATCAGGAACAGTTAAAAATAGCCGCGCCAGTACACGCTCTTTCAATTACAATACAACTCCATTGATAGTAAATAAAGTGATACAATGTATTTCAATTTCTTTATTGCTCCAATTAAGATAAGTAGGCGATTCTTTGCATGTACAGGATGATATAGTTTTGCTCTTATTTTATTTAGATGTTTTGTCAAATACTTGGATAGTTAAAAGAAAATTTAGGGTTATAACCGTGTGCGGAAAATGTTAATTTTCTTTAAAATCCTTCATTGGAAGAATATTTTAGGCCAGTTTGTCCAGCAATTCTCGAGTTGAAACAAAGCATCTTTTCATGAAACAAAGAAGTTATCAATCATAATGTTGAAACTGTAAAAGATACAGAAGTCGACACGTTCACACTTGAAGATATTTCTTTCTTTTTTCAGTGACAAAGAAGATCAATCAATCTTTCAGGCTCGTTCATTTTTATACTTTAAATATTTACTGTCACAGACCGTAAGGTCGGCTCACAACATTTAAAGCCCGTATTATAATGTAAACACGATGTGAAGCCCGCGCCCGATATATTACCCGGCGACTGATTATGATATATCGACGTCGCGGTTGCTGTGTTGATCGCCACTTACCCTACCCTTATCACCGAGCATGTAATTTCGAATTCATTGCCCTCGGCTCCGCGCGACGGGGACCTTTATTAAATGTAAAATATTTCATATATTTCGCAAATATCTGGCACACAGTTATTAATAAATATCTACTTATCTGTAGCGGGAAAATAATTATTTTCGATCATCTCCCCGACATAATAAATCAATGGACAAGTTGTAGTGATACTTACGTCACTGAAGAGTCCCATCTTCTTCTTTTCGTGTCGACAACAAACCTACACAGTGTCAGCCCAAAACTCCGCCACAAGAGTGGCGTTGTCAGTAGCACTCATCAAATCCTCCTGAGTGCAGTTGCACGATGACAAACCGAAGAGTCCCATTATTTGGATATTTGCCTTCATTTTGTTTTAACGTTGCTTTTGTTCTTTGCAGGTTCAAATTGGACATGAGAGGATGAGCCATGGAATCACGAAGCGCGCCGCCAAGCCCCGACGAGCCGGGGGAGGCGGTGTTCGACGCTCGTTGTGGACGCTACCCGGTGTCCGCTCTGCAGAGGACGTTCGCGAGCTGCAGAGAGACGGGTCGACCCAGACCTCACCACCGTCATGCGGCCTCAGAACCGGCCAGGCCCGACGACCGGGTGCTCACGACGGCCGAAGTCCACGACTACCCCTCATCAGAGTCCGGCATCGCCGCCGACTGCCCACACCCCAACACCAGCAACGCTGACGATAGCCCGTCTTACGACCGCTCCGATTATGAAGGAAACTCCAGCTACAGCTTAAGGCACACACCAGATTACCACCACACCCTTGACTGTAAACACCGACCGATTGACTATAATCGAAGCCATACTCCAGATTTCAATCATGGACGAGGATCTGACTGTGACCATCCACATCCACGATCGCAAACTTCTCGACGACCACACAGGAAACACAGACGAGAAGAAGATGACGGAGCCCAATCTCTTGACGAAAGGTGTGCCCGAGACTTGGACGAAATATTACCAGCGAGATTGGCCGCTGTCAATTTATCAAGGGAACCGCCACCACAGACGTGGAACAGGAGTAACATTGCCGCAACCATGGAACGTTTCGAGCCTGTAGATTACTCTTATGCCTACTACGATCATCACTTATCAATGCCGTCGTCGTCTAGAAAAGCAAATCGCCAACGCGGCCGCGGTGGTATCCCGAGAGACCGATCCATGCGTCATAATTACGTAACGAGATACGGAACTGAAGAAAACATTTACGAAGAAATCACAGATGGCTCAAGAACTTGTCCAAAACATCGATATGCCCCTCGACAGTCACTCGTCTCTCTAGACCGCAGTGTAGTGGAAGAAGAAGTGCGTCGAGTTGAATCAAGGCATAAACGAATATTGGGTGAACTGAATCTTAGCGTAGAAGCTATGTTGATGCCCGAATGTGAATCCCCAGACTCGGAGCGAGCGGAAGATAGAGATAATATAGAGGAACTGCTCCGAGTGGGTCCGACGGATGAGTTGCTATCGCCGGCGAGCTGTAATCCTCCGGATTTAGATAGCGGCTTCAGTGGCAGCAGTAGTGGAGCAAGTTACGTTGGCAGTTTGCGTCGAAAACCCACAGGTTCTGTGCCTCACTTGCCAGCTGTGGCATATGGCACTCGCGGGGCTGGTGTCCGCATTCTGGGCGCAGAAGAATGTGGCATACGCTGCCCGAGAGACATGCCATCACCAAGGAGCTCCAGCTGTGGAGATGCGAAAACCACGGGGTTTTGGAATAAAAAGGCATGGAAAAAAATATCTGGCTTTTCTAGCTCCAATAGTATCAACAAAGCTGGTCTCACTGGTAAGTCAAATACATCATTAATACCTCATTACATATAATTTATTTGTGTATAATTTATATTTATTTATTGGTTATTTAGCATGTTACATAGAGAATTAGTTTTTAGTATACCAGCGCTGCTTTTACAGAAATCTACTTCTAAACTTCTGTATTTAGCTCAAGCAAGTTTTAAAACCAGAAACTACTTAAACATTCATAAACTACCATTACACAGCCAACAAAGAATTTCACTGCAGAATTGCACGATGTATAAAGTCCCATTCTCACATAAAATCTCGATGAATTCGAGCTACGTATACAGTCGTGAAAGCCCTAGGAGTATCACCCCTTTTTATTTCGCCCGCTTTCGTCCGCCCATAGGCGAATTTCAGATGGACGCGCGCGCGTGGCTCTGTGTTTGTTGTTTTCTTTTAGTTATCTTCGTTTGTTTTGTTAACGGTGCGGCGTTTTGCATTGCAGGTCTGCTCGTTAGGTACACTTTCCGGCGTAAGTCCGGCTCGCAGGGCTCTCAGGGCAAGCGGCGCGCTGAGCCCGTCAAATGCGATGCGTGCCTCTCACAACGGTGTTAGCCGCACTATGGTAAGGGTCCCACTACACTTTGCTGGCAGAAAGTACCAGTCTTAACTTAAAGTAACATAAATCCTGACTTTCTGACAGTAATTATTTTTATTTTTTACTAATTGGCATGGCGCGTCCATAAAAATTGTTGCCTCTACGAGGATTTTTGATCCTTTTTTGTTTTTTATTGTGTTTTGTTTTAAACATAAGATCATAATAACACATCATCTCAACAAAACACAACTGTTTATTATAAAGAGGGGGGGAGACGAAAGTAGGGGAGTCGATAACAAGCAGCGCAACGCGGTCGGGTCAGGCGCGATTAAGAAAGTCGATACAAAGTTCTCTCATTAAGGTATTGCAGATATTACTTCTGCAAACTTCGACTCGAGATAAGTATTGTTCCGCAAAAGCCGAGACAATAGCATGCGCTACCACTTAATTAAGCCTCCTCGATGCGATACGAGCGGAAAGTTGCCGATTAATCCGCCAAGACAAACGTTTACTTACCAAAGATTCTGTTTTTACTCTGATGGTTTAAGTTGAAATATCTTGGTTGCAGATGAAGCCTGTAGGCCAAGCAGAGCTAAATCCAGAACGACCACTATACCATACAGGTTAATATCTTATCTTAAATCTATGTAGAAGGCATGGCTTTGCATTTTGAGTTATTGTGAAGTAGCGTGAAAGTCTGAGCAGATTCATGTCGCGTGTCTAACGTAAGTTTTCCATTGTTCCAGCTACTCAAACGGAAAACTGGTGGTGCCGCTGGATTCCCTAGCACAGAGCTGAGGGGGGCAGCCCCCTCTCCATCCCCGCTTCCAAATCCTCCGAGGGACTCCTCGACGCGATAGGACAAAGATAAACGCAAAAGTGTCCGACTTTGTGTCTTAAATGTGCTATTACGCATGCCATAAGGTACATTTTCGTAACATTCCAAGACTTTGATGCGATCGGCCTGTGTCTAAAAGACCTGGTGAAGGTGTACATACAGTGAACAACCACGAATGATATTTATAAACGAGGCGGTATACGGAGAGCGAAGTGATACTATAGCCTAATTAATGATTTGTATTGTTATGACGATCGTTTCATAGAAACGTAATAACTACGTTGTTGTTACTAATCAATTTTTAGTAGGTAATAGGTACATGAAAAGGCTGAAAAAGTTGAATCAGATTTTGTATGACTTATGATGCTGCCATTTTAGCTTGTAAATGTCCGTTCTCTACTTACCTACTACTTTTTTGATGTTCAATATTGACTTTTTCTATAACTGGTGTATTAAATATTACTGAAGCATATTCATATGTGTCTATGTCAGCTTTACTGTTTTATTCTTCGTGGATTAATAGACTATTGAATAGACCCCATTAAATTTAATTGAAGTAATCCTACATACACAGTCTGCTGACCTCACTTGTACAGTTAAATTCAAAAGTGGAGAGAGAAAATTCTTTAGCCAGAAAACTGATGGCCTAGATTTGTAAAAAGATGAGTATCAAATCAACCATACTAAGCTTTGTTTGATGTAAGATGTTATAAGTTCTTCTACCTTTTGACATTGATTGTATTTATAAATTGGTTAGCAGAGTTTTTACATCGGCACCGTACAGTTTTGTTGTCTCCCAAATTTTATATTTAAATCGTATTTTAGTCACCATAATCCAATTGTAAAAGCTATTCTAAATGGTCCAACCTAATTATTTTTTTATTAGTAAACATGTAAAAAATTGTTTTATAAAATCTAAAATGTTATTCTTTTGAGATAACGTAATTGTTAATACTTTTTAGTGGATAGTTTGTATATTATGTAAATATCTACAAAACCATGGTGCACTATCTTTATGTTATTATTTATGTACATAGGTACATGTATAGTCACTTTCACATTTGCTTTAGAATTCACTGTACTGAATTTGTAAGTAAGTGAACTACACTCGCGAGCAAAACTATGGAATCACTTACATGAAGTTGTTTCCACGCGAACTTGTGTACTAACGAATTTGTAAGTAACAAAAAAAGTGGCAGCATTTTAAAGATTAAACTTTTATCTTTAAATTGATACCAAATTCATTTAAATCACACCAGTATTTAAAAAGATGTCCCGGCTGATGTGAAGAAGTAACGAAAAAGACATGTATGAACTGTTTGATACGTCGCGAGGTGCGGCCTATTTACCCCCTGTAAAAGCACGCGTTTTTAGATTTTTGCTTTCACACGTTGATTCATACACATCTCCGCTTCTTTTGACACTTTACCTGGGATTCTACACCTTCAGAAGCAGCACAAATCGTTGCACTATTGCAAGAAAGGCTCAGCCAGCGGGCTGTCGCACGTCAGCGCCACATAAGCCAGTCCTGGGTTTCGAAAGTTTCAAGACGCTTTCGGGAGACTAGTGGCTTTATTCCGACACCAAGTTCTGAACAGCGCCGGCGCACATCGCAGAGGGAAGACCGTTTTTTCATGTCAACCTCTCTATGAACTCATCATTTGACTGTNACCAGTCTCCCGAAAGCGTCTTGAAACTTTCGAAACCCAGGACTGGCTTATGTGGCGCTGACGTGCGACAGCCCGCTGGCTGAGCCCTTCTTGCAATAGTGCAAGGATTTGTGCTGCTTCTGAAGGTGTAGAATCCCAGGTAAAGTGTCAAAAGAAGCGGAGATGTGTATGAATCAACGTGTGAAAGCAAAAATCCGAAAACGCGTGTTTTATAAGGGGTAAATAGGCCGCAACTCGCGACGTATCAAACAGTTCATACATGTCTTTTTCGTTACTTCTTCACATCAGCCGGGATATCTTTTTAAATACTGGTGTGATTTAAATGAATTTGGTATCAGTTTAAAGATTAAAGTTTATTCTTTAAAATGGTGCCACTTTTTTTGTTACTAACAAATTCGTTAGTACACAAGATCGCGTGGAAACAACTTCATGTAAGTGATTCCATACTTTTGCTCGCGAGTGTATTAAAAAGTGGTTTAAAAAAATCATTGACGTGGGTGTTTTTGAATATGTAATATGTGACAACGTTTTAAGGGAACAATGTTTGTAAATTGATATGCTCTCTATTCACCTTTTCAAATAAACTATTAAAATCAACATAAATTCCTTGTAAATTCACTAGGTATTTATTCCTAGTTGCCTATATTACATATTAAAAATCATTTATAACGTTTAACCCTTAATTCGCCGGATAATTCTGCGACTTTATTTATCAGCTAAAACGACCCAAATAAAATTATTGTAAATAGATTTAATTAATGTAAAAATTTGAATTTTGAATCAGTCAGTGAGACTTTGGTTTTGAATATCCCTGAGCTGGCCGACTGATATCCGACAGCGTAATAATCTCAGTGTTATAAAATACAATATTTCTTTTAACTGTCTGTAATTTAGTGATCGTGTTCAAGTCAAAAGAGATTTTTATTAAATAAATCATAAAATTATAATGGGAAAATTTTATTTGTCTCTTTTACTTTTTAAGAACGAAAGCACAGAAAGATAAATACTGTAGCAAGTTGTGTAGTTGTAATAGGCTGTCAACTGTACCTACAATGAACAATAATTTATTTTGGTAGTGACTTGCTTACATAAAAAAGTTATAATGAAATCTTGTTTTGAGCTCAACTCACTTTTGTTACAAAGTTGGGCAATTTTTGAAATGGGTGACAAACATTATTTCAGTCAGCTTTTTTGTCACATCACTTAATTTTGGTCCGTACAAGAGAAGCATTGATTTAATCTAACAATAAAAATACATTTTCGAACGATTGCAATAACAACCACCAGTTTCTTTTCCTTGGCCTGCCAATTAGTCAATTACACTGAATCGACTGCTAACTCAACGCCAACGGCCTAATCGATAAAACGTAATTTTCTATACGTGCGAACATCGCAGCCGCAATGCAGTTCATTGAAATGCGCTCATTCAAAAACCGAAAAAGCAAAGAACATACCTAATTTAATGTTCTCTTTAGTACCCAGCTGTGAAACTTCCTCATTTTGTAAATGGGCTGGCATTCACTACGCCAAAACCTTTCTCCTCGCGCAAAGAACAATCGCTCTAAATTCACCACAATACTCCTCCGATGAGTATAAAATTTCGCTTGTACAGAGGGGAGTACAGAAATTGGGTCTTTTGTACCTCTCAAAGGGTTAATTGTTTAATTGCCAATAAAAATAAAAACAGAGCATTCAATGTCGGCGTGCCCTCGACAAGCATACAGCTGCTGTTGAAATCAAAAGGATTTATCTACTTTAAAAATTACATATTTGCTTGGGACTGTAGGGAAATGTGTGCCATTCATATTTTGTTTTATTGTTCCACTTTTTAATAAAGAGTTGTAGGTTAGGATTAGAATTCCAGTTAAATTAGCACTCTTTGGCTGAGTAACTAAAACCATAACCGATGTTTTTAAGGAGTTTCACAGATTTTTAACGATCGTTAAAGTTAAGTAAGATGGTGCAACCCAGTCTTTGACTCTTTGTCTCATCTAAATTAAACTGTAAAATAGAGGAGCACGTCTTGTTTTACAATTTCGTCCTATTAGCAATTATTAATATTTTGGTAGGTACCCTTAGTACCTACTTAACCTTAAGATGCTCTAAAACCTATACGTAAAGGCAGCTCAGTTAGATGAAAAACATGAAAATCAGTATTTGAAGGGTCCTAATAATTTACTTCGAAATAATAAATTATCGGCCAGTTAAAACTCTCAACCCTTATAATGGGCTCTATTTACGAAAGTTTAATTGAACTAATTGATCTTGGGCTAAATTGGTAGTCTATTTTAGTTTCTTCAGTACGAACTTTGAACAGTAATAAGATTTAATTTAGAACGATTGGATTTCAAGATAGACGCAGGAGTCGAAAAATTTCATTAGGCCTCCCATTCTGGCGTAAGCCACTTTGAAAGGTAACAAAGAAAGAATGTATAGCCGGCGACAGTATCTGGGTTTGTGATTTGGATTTATTAGAATCCCGCAGTATTTCAGTCTCTAAAGAAATTCTTCGTATTGAGTTAGAATTGCTTCAGGCTAAGTAACGTGTCTTTAGATTAATATCAATGCGCTACGTATGGATTCAACTGGATTGACTAAGGGTGGGTCATCTTACTTTAACTTTGACAAACGTCAAAAATCTTTCAAACTCCATACAAAAAGCACTGGTTATTGTTATTATTACGGTTAAAATATGCTGGTGCAACTTACCCTAAGTTTTTTTTTTCATTTCACATGCATTGTTACATTATAAGTAAGAGAGCTAAAATCTCAAAGAGCTCTCTTAACTCTCTCTAACTAACTTATGAAATAAACCTTCATGAAGTTAGAGCTGAAAATACATAGTTCTTGCACAACAAAACCAAGTTGCAATAGTATAATTCAATGGGTTTTATCAATCACTCAATACTCTATGTTTTTGATAGAAAAACATCCCTTAAACTTGAATTAGATTTGATAATATGAATGAAGATAAATAAATTAAATAGGTAGGTATAATATTATGTGACCCCGTTGCGTTGAATCTATAATAGTATGACGGACATGATCTGCATAAGAAGAATGTGCGGGAAATTGAAAAATAGTTGGAAAGTCGTGACGTGAAGACGGACGGCTGGTATTACTGAAATTAAGTTTCAGAAACGTTCGTAAAGTTACGGTAATACTAAGTTTAGCAGCCATTTTGGAAGTAATGTACTGTCAAGCCAACTACTTATCGTGGAAGAATGAAGATAATACCTACATACCTTCCTAAAGCGTGTACCTATCTAAGTATGACGAATATCTTAAGTACGAGTAGGTACCTACTTGAAATAGTGTGAAACGATAAAGATTTTGTTACGCTAAGGTAAGAAGACTATTAGACAACATTATACATACTACCAGAGAAAAAATGATTCAATATAATGTTTCTTCAACGAATCAGCTACCAGCAGACTGCACACAGATTGCAATCAGATTCACATCTTCAAAATGGATATGTGGCCAAAATATCAATTCTGATCTCTTCGTTCTATTATTCCTAAGTTTGTACGGAACAGTGTTAACAGTGGTAGGTACGTAGAATCGAAATGTACAAGAACTTATTAAGTATAATGCCTAAGAATAATACATAAGTAAAAAAATAATTAGGTACGTTAATAAGAAAAAAATAAACATAACATTATCTCGTCATAACCTCACATCACAAATAACGGCCGGCACGTAAGCTGCGCCAGTGAACCCTAAAACGACCTTGGCATGCTCCAAATTAGTTGTTAACATGAACCCCGGCCAAGTAATTAACGTATATAAATCAAAGATAATAACAGAACTCGTTAAACTATGAAAGGTTACATAAACGGTAGGGAAAACTAACTAGAAATCGTGAAAGCTTATCTAATGGAACGTTTATTAGTGCTCGAATAATTTTAACACATACTGTTACGTCAGCTAGCTTTCATTTTGAAAATACAAAAGAAAACAATAATAATATAAGTGACAGAAGAAAGAGAAGAAAAACTGTTCTCAAAAAAACTATTCTGGCTAGACTCTGAATTAGAAGAGAGTACAAATTACTGACAGAAAGAGGTACTAATAAAAAATTGGTGATGAAAATACAAATGTTCTAAATAAAAAATTGGTGATGAAAACAAAAATGTTTTATTTCATAAATACGTCGGTTGGCTTTAAGTTGGTAAAGGTAAATGATTTGGATGTAAGCATCAAACATTTT